GCCAGGTGTCCCCTCTTCTTCTTCAGGGTTAGGGTTTGGAATGGGTTTGTGGGTATTGAGAGAGGAGATTTGGGGTTGGGTTTTGGGTGGACATGGAGATGATGAGGTTGAGGTTGAGGTGAGGCCAGTGGGATTAGACTGCAACCCATTTTAATGGTCTTTTTTTTAGAGTTTTTCAGGCTTGGGGTCTACTTGTTCAACTCTTATTTGGGTTTGGAGGCCTTTTTGAGAGTTTTTGAGGTTTGGGGTCTATTCGTTTAACTCTTACTTGGGTTTGGAGATGTGTCCAAGATTCTAGCATACAAATTTCTTTTTTTTTTTTTTGACCCCCCAAGAAAAAAAAAATTCTCCAATATAGTTACGCACACAACACAAGTGGCATGTTGAGCTTGATTCCGTGTCCACACGGACCACACCAAAAGGGTGCCCTGGTGCGTAGGTTGAGCGGGGGCAAAAAAAAGGGAAAAACGGTCATGAAGTTAGGAAGGAGATCATGATAATTGTCTCAGTAGATCTTTTACAGATACGGTAAGAATATTCCGATTGCAGTGATATATTTAATATTGATGATTGCACTGATATTGTATACTGATTGTACTGATTTAGAGTTGTTAGTGGAGTACATGTCATGTTGGATATAAAGGGTCCTTCGCAATATTTTTCTCTTCTTAGCTAGGGGTGACAAATGGGTTACTTTAAACCAAATTTGATCTTCTGTTCAATATTTGATCTGAACACTCGTTTTGCCCGTTTAAAATGCATTTTATGGACTTGAATAATACTAGAATATCAATGTTAGGCTGCGATCTTTCAGTCTTCAGTCTAAGCATTAGAGGTGCAAGAAAAGCTTACACCTAAACATGCTACCTTGAAGGTTACATCGTTTTTATCTGTATATCACACATCGCCGATTTGAGTGTCAGAGGGGCTTTAGTCGGAACTCAGCCCGGCCCGGCCCCTTTGATGTATGTTTGCTTTGAGTGAGCGCCGTCTGATACGTTGGAGCCGTACTAAGAATCCAAAGTGAATTCTTCATAGAGCCCCTCTTGTTTCATATTCTAATAACTCAACGATAACATCATCATCCTCATCAGTTCTTCCAAGTTCTGCCGCAGCAATTTTTGTTACTTCTAGACTTCGAAGGTATGTGACAGCCCCCCTCGAATTTCTTGTAGTAAAACCAGTATTGAAAATGTTTTCGTTTCGTTTCTGGTAACTAATTTATCCATTAACAAAAGAGATTATATACACGACATCAATCAATTGCTGGAGACATACATTCATTGACATTTTAAGTTAAAGATAACATAATTAGCTAATTAGTACTAGATATGATGCATCTTCCCATTTAATATTAACTGGAGCCTCCATGAACAACCAAGGAGCTCTTACAAACTGTCATTTATGTTACGTGAGTACAATATATGATGCATCTCCCGATACGAATGTTGCCCGATAGCCGGTTTTCTGATATATCCAACCGGCTAAGGTGAGCAAATTGCGGATGTGTAGGGGAATTGAGCCATAGAGACTATTTGCGGATGTGTAGGAGAAATTGTTAGCACTAGGTTTGAGATCGAATCCTGATCATTGAAGCTTTCAAGAGGAAATTCGGTGTTGAACCAGCCAGATGATTTTCGGCCAGAAACAGATTTCGTAGGTCTGATAGTTTTCCCAGCTCCCTGGGGATTCCTCCTTACCTACGTGAGGATTCCAATAGAAGGTGGGATCCTTCCAGTAAACTGATTAAGACAGAGATAATAACACCCTGAAATCTCTCCAGCAGTCGAGGCCAAGTTATTGTCTGATAGAGAAAGGACCACAAGGTTCAAGAAATGAGCCAAGCTAGATGGTATCTGTCCTGTGAACTGATTAATCCTGAGGGCAACAATTTGGAGTTGAGGGTGGATACTAATGTTGTGATTCAAAGGGAGACAACCCGAGAATCTTTTACTCACTAAGGATTTTAGTGTTGTGAATACTAATGTTGTGATTCAAAGGGAGACGACCCGAGAATCTTTTACTCACTAAGGATATTCTATTCCAATATGAAGGTTTTGACTGTCCATTTTGCCTAGTGCCGAGTGGATCGGATACATGAGCTTTGAAGTCTACAAGAGATTCGAGGTCAGTGAAGTTTTCGTGTGGGATTGATTTTGTTAGGTGAGGATAAGTGAAAGAGGTTAGCAGCAGCACATGGAAAAGGCACAAAGAGATCCATGGGCAAATTATGTTGCTGAGAATTTTGATTTTGACAGACAATAATTTTTGCACTGGAATGATCTTAACTAGCTCGAAGTTTCTTTCTTGAAATGGATTGATTCAAACTCAAAAGAACCAGTATGTTGATGCTCTAAAACTAGCTTATATAAAATTAGAATATAACCTTAAGCCTATCTTTCCTAGAATTCTTATTACAGTAAGGACAAGGTCATTACACTGCATACTCACTTGGATTTGCATTTCTTCAAGTCTAACTCAACTATTCTTTTCCCTTTCGGTTTCATATGATATTTTTGTGGATGAATTGTAGTAACTAGTATTCATGCAATTTTTTATCTTGTTCCAGTATCCATATACGCAGGTGAAATTTATCAGGGATATTGTTGATAGAGCATAATACATCGTTCTCATAGTTCTAAAGCGAAAATATGATCCACAAGTCAATATGTGGAGTATCGACATGATGTTGTAAGCAGGTGAGTTTGTGCTTCTTACACATCGAGTTCTTCATGTTACGTTGGAAATAAAAGTGAAGAATCAAAGCAGATTATGATTATTTTTCATGGAACAGAGGAATTGTCGATGCAATCCTTTGAGGCCATGTTGATTTCAGTGTCTGGTCCATGACCAAGTACAAGCATCAAATGATGCCAAAAATTCTCTGCATCAGTAATACAAGTGTTTGGAAGGAAATCACTAACAAAGGTATTCATGATTGTTAACATCATGATTTTCCCTATCTTGTTTTTTGTAAAGCTTGTGAGCCTTAATGCATGTTACTAACAAAAGCAGTTTCATGTACAAGAAAAATGGTTAAAGTATCCGTGATTGACACTATAGCCAAATATATATACAATATACATAAGATATGGTCATCATAGGATGATCTTACCTAACAATGAAAAGAAAATTTACAAAAATTCGAAGTGTAAAATCTATCTAATTATATGATGAATAAACTGCTTATAAGATTCTTTAGCCAAACACTAATGAAGGGCTGGCATCAGGGCTTGGAGCCATGGCTCAAACAGCACAAGATAAGTGGGACATGTACTCCGCTCTTATCTTCTTCAGTCGAGGGACAACATCAGTCATCAGAATCCTTTCTTTTGGTGAGTAGCTTGTGTTGGATAGCAGGTTATTGGGCCAAATAGGATTCCTAGTCTGTTTTGGTTTTAGTTTTAGAATTATTAGGATTCTTTGTCTGTTTTGGTTTTGATTTTAGAATTGTTGGATTCCTAATCTTTTTTGGTTTTAGGGTTTCTATATATATAGAACGTTTTAGAAGAGATTTGTAGAGAAAAAATAGAGTCTTTTGAGCACTTTAAGAGGGAGATTAGAGATTATTGGTTAGGGTTATTTTGAGTGTTTGAGAGTTGTAACCCATTGTATTTCTCCTCCATATAGTGAAAACTCTTCATCCTCTCCCCGTGGACATAGGCAACTTGCCGAACCATGTAAATCTCTGTGTTTATAATTGGTTTGTGCCATTCTTTCGTGAATTGCACTCGTTGGTTGTTCTCCTCCTGTTGCTCGCCGACTAGTATTGGTTCGTGTGCACGTTTTTGCCGACGCACAACAATTGGTATCATAGCTCTAGGGTTTCAGACCTAGGGTTTGTTTTGGGTGGAGGAAAATTCATTGTTAGAAGCTTGGATCTTGGAGATCTAGGTTTCAGTGAAGATAACGTTGCGGAGTTGCCGGTTGGAGATATCACCTTCCTCGTGTGGTTGGGAGTTCGTGTTGGAATCCAATCTAGAGTTCAAGTTAGGTAATTTCTCATTTGTATCAGTTGTTCGATTTTTCTCTACAATTTAGAGTTAGCAAGCAATGACAGGAGATAGTGGTGAAAGCAACAAGGCTACGGCAAGTACAGTTCAGGTTGCACTTTAGAATACAAAAATCAGTGTTGTGAAGTATGACGGTAAGATCAACTTTGGGTTGTGGATGAGTGATGTGCAGGATGCTTTGAATGCTCAGAACTTAGAGGAGACCATCATGGTCCATGAGAGGCCACCGAAATATAATGAGACGATATGAGACAAGATGAATCGAAACGCTTGTGGGGTAATAAGATCTTGTTTAGAACAAGAGTTGAAGTATGATGTGATCGGTGTGACATCTGCAATAAAGATGTGAGAGATTCTCAACAATAAATATCTTACGAAGAATGTTGAGAACCGATTGCACTTGCTGCGAAGATTGTTTAGATTCCAGATGTCCAGGGGTACCTTACTTGCAGATCATGTGAATAACTACACAAAGTTGTTGTCGGACTTGGCGAATATGAATGAGAAGATATCGGATGAGTACAAGACGATTATTTTATTAGGCTCCTTACCCGATGAGGAGTATGATACCTTCATGCTCACTTTGTTGAACGATAGATCTTCCATCACCTATAGTGAAGTGACTAATGCACTGACGAATTTCGACTTGAGGAGGAAGGATAAAGAATCTTCCAGAGCTAGCACTTCAGGAGAGACCTTGTCGACGAGAGATAGAAGTCCCTATCCGAGAGGTGGTAATAAAGGCAAGTCAAAGTCAAGAGGCCACTACCAATTAGCGAAGAACCAGTGTGCTTTTTGCAAAGAATAAGGATATTAGAAGAGAGATTGTCTGAAGCTTAGAGAGAAGGAAAATAGCAAGAAGAAGGGCCCGAAGTCAGCGAGGTGAATGTTGCTAAAAGTGGTAACAATTCAGATGATTCATGCTTTTTTCTATTGATTACTCTAGAGGTTAACCATGCTAATGCATCAGATTAGAT